CACGTTTAATGACACGAAAATTGATAATATTTTAGTTTATTTCTACATTTTATTTCTATTTATATTTATACCATTAAATGTTAACATTTGTCACGCTTAATGACACGAAAATTGATAATATTTTAGTTTACTTTTCACCATTTAACGTGGGTATAAGAATAATAGGAATAAAATATATGAGAATATTTAATTTCTCATTTAAATATGATAGTGTTATTTTCTTGTGATCAAATATGTTTGAGTGAAATTTAAAAAGTTTAGGGCAATAAATAATCTAACTATTCGTATTAATCATTTCATGTATTTTAATTAGCACAACTCTTTTATGATCACGAATTGTCCACAATATGCTTCATTGGAAGAAGATTCATGCTTCTTTTTAGTCGTACACAACAATTTATGATTTAGATGATTATACCATACAGCTGTATAAAGCACAAATTTATTGTGTATGGCTAAAAATTATTGTATACGGATAATCGGTACCCTTTCATAAAGTGTGTTGAATAACGATATCTATCTTATCATGCACTTAAAAATATCTTAATGCAAAAACTTAATACCCAAAAGTTCATGAATCCAAATTTTGTACCCATTAAAACCCGTCACTAGCATTAAAAAGACTAGCCAAAACTCCATTTACAAACCAAGATCAACAAGTAAACCCATTAACTGATAATGACAATCATATAGGCTATAACTCAGATATCAAGCAAACAAAAACACATGCTTAGTTAACCCATATTGCCATATCCAACCAAATCTAGTATCCAATCACCACAAGACTCTGTGGCTTGTAGTTGACCATAGCAGCCTCTTTCGTTGGAGCCACCTGAAGAATGATGGGCCGTTGTGGTAGGTACTGGTATTGGCAAGATTGTTGTAGAAGGGGTGAAGGCCTTCCACCCAAAGCTTCAAAAACAGGTTTGACATGGTCTACCTGAGGTGCCATTTTTGGTGTTTAGAGAGGTGAAGAAATTAAACTTGTTCTTAGTTGTTTGTGTATGAGCCTTTGGAAATATAAGCATTTATAAAGGGAGAAAAGGGTAGAAAAGGTAAATGTGTAAAGTTCTCTTCTCTAATTAAAAATATAATATAAAATATAAATAGAATAGAATAGAATAGAATAGAATAAATATCTACAAATGATATATGTGGCTAGATTGTGACATTTCAAGACATGTTGGTTTTATTCTTTTTGAACATAAATGATTCACATATTTAATTATAGGCTAAATATAAAGAATGATTACTAATTTTATTTAAATAACTTATATTTTGATCAACAAAGTTTTGATAGTTACTAAGAAAAAAGTTAGATTGTAAAAAGTTAATCTTGAGAATATAGTAGACAAAGTTTGTTGTCATTTCCTTATCATAATTTATTATTAAGAAATGCCAATCAACTTGGTCCATATTATCCTAAAAGCAACTTTTTGCAAACAAATTATTTAATTCTTTCGTGACTTTCAATTTTTGAAACCAAAATAAAATTAGGCACATTGTTCCTCATTCTTTGCAATCGGACCTAAGTATAACTATATAGACCATTTGTAAATGACTTATACAATTCTTTCTATTAAACAAATATAGAATGTTGTAAAGATAAGCGAACTCTGGATGCCATTTTAAACTAATTGACCTTATTTTTATTATATTTAAAACTTAATTTGACATGTTTTATTCGTAATTAATTAAGTATAATAGAAAGTGAAATACTTAAATATAAGTCGATACTTTAAAGAAAAATATTCCAACCTTGCAACTAGCAGCAACTAGTGGCGATTCCTCCGGATAACGTTTTCAATATAAAGTGCAATCATTTTTGCATATCGCATCCAAACTCTATCTCTAAAGGAAAGGCTTCAATAATACATAGTTTTTTTTTTTTTTTTTTTTTTTTTTTTTTTTTTTTTAAATCTTCCATTTCTAATATTTTTGGAAAAAACGAATACAAAACTTCAGTTATAAAAAGTAGCCTTGTGGATGTCTGAAAGTAATGTGGTCGTCTCGTCTGGTCTTCTAATGCACAAACAAAAAGGCACGCTATAAAAGTAAACAAATGCTAGGTTAGAAAGTGATACGGATGTATGAACTCCGTTATTGATCTCCGATGCGTAAGTTAAATGTCAATAGTGAGTATTGCAAAATTGCTTATTGAGAGAAGAGTTATGCCCATACCAGTGCGTGTTGTGGCCTTTGTGGCCTTTATATACGAACGAAAAGGTTCGGGTTCTTTGTTCATTGATCGGGTTATGCCTTTACCAATAAGTTGCAAGGGTAGTACCTTTCAATATAACAATATTACCCTTTTCGTGTTTCCTGAGATGTTGCGTAAGGATTTGCACGGATGATTTCCTTAATATGAAATATTGTTTTGTTCATTGACCAGGTTATGCCTTTACCCATAGCTCTTTCCTAATGTGGATGTGTGACTTTTATGTATGGGCTAACCCTCATATATCATTAAGCCCTCCAGCCTAATTGTTAAAGGATGGTGCTAAACAAATTTTAATGATTGCGCTTTAGATAACTTTTAAGTATCTGTGTAATGAACCATATGACCCAGATTATATGCACATATATCTTCATGTAACTGTTAGGGTAGTTGGTTCATTAGAGGTCTGCACTCCATTCTTTTTTCCCTTATAAATATCTTTCACGTTAGTTTTGTAACATTCCAAAAATCACAAGAATTTAAAACTTTCAAAAACAACCCATATTATAAAATTGTTTACAAAACTAAGGTTTCCAAATTGTTTATCAAATATCAGAGTATCCCAAAATCATAATATCATCAGTCAGGAAGATGTGTACAGTCACGTCTTCGCCTTCTTGCGATCATCAGAAATACCTGAAACCATAAACTAAAACCGTAAGACAAAGCTTAGTGAGTTTCCCCCAGAGTAACAACACACAAACAAATAACATATACAACAACATATTAGGTCCAATCAACCATCGGGTTAGAATACCCTAGGACCAGTCATCCTCCAGGTCCAGTCATCCTCGAGATAAAGTACCCTAGGTTGGAATGTCAATATATAACAGGTCCAGTCATCCTCGGGATAGAATACCCTCCGACCCAATCAACCATCGGGTTGGATTGCCCCCAATCTATTGGCTCACGCACAAAGCAGTAAAGCCTCAACCACCACTCAAAATATGTCGACATATACATAACATATAAACATATAATCAGCCAACAGACAAACAGGCAAATCTACAGATCACTACCGCATAGCAACACCCTTGAAACTAGAATTCAGATCTAACAGATCACTACAACATAGCAACATATAGTAAACCAGAATATCAATCCAATGGGTCAGCCTTGGTACCTTCGAACTGCAAGTACAATAAGGAAGACTCATCTCTCAGTCTGAGCAAGATCACTGAACAGAACACAAATCTGAATACAACTCAACGAAATCTATTCATCAAATAATGACCAGTCTCAAATCTTGGTCAAGGTCAAAGTCAAATCAAATCCAAAAGCCTCATAGTCAGGGGTTACGTCATGGCCCCTCCAATGGTCACGCCATGATTGGACAAAGTCCAAAATAGTCGAGGATCGGCATCCTCACATCGTGACACCCCAAACCCCTACGTCATGAAGAAACCCAATCAGAAGTTCTTAATGAAACTCTAGATCCTTTAAGACAAGCAACCAAACTTTCCATATAGTCTTATTCACTCCAGAGCATCATAAAAATCATGGATTTTTGGACATGCATGTCCAATACATGTCCCAACACCAACTAGGGCACAAATGGGGAAATATAACATCAAATCTCATGCAAGATTCATAAACTCCTCCAAACTACAGATCTAGCAACTATAACACTCAAGGGACCCTGGAGACCCATAAAGTTGGTAACTTTAGGGATTCCAATCACTACCTCAACTTGAATATAGAGAAATAAGCAAAAAAAAAAACCTAGATCTAAGCACTCACAACAGGTCCAAAAGGTGCCAAAATGGATGATGGTGAGGCTTGAATGTTGTAAAGATGGATTAGATGCTCTTCCTCTTTTTATTCTTGGCTAAAAGCACCACAAATGAGCTCAATGACCAACAATGGATGCTAGGGTTTCGAAAGGCAAGGAAATGAGGTGATTGAGGCTAAGGGTGGGCTAACCCTAGCCCTCACTTCCTTTATATATGGAGTGAAACCCTCAAAACCAGGGTTTTCCACACATATGAATCTCATGTCATGACCTATACATTGCTCACGTCGTGAGCCTCAAAATGGCATGCGCGGTCATTTAATTCCTCACGACGTGACAAGAAACCTCATGTCGTGAGAAGTGTCAGAATTGAAATTTTGACTTCATCAAAATAATAAAATGTGCACCTGAACCGAGCTTTACAAGTTTGTTCATTTATCTCTTTCCATTTGTTTTATTTTTCCATTGTTGATTTGCTTTATTGGAGATGGTGTCTCAATTCACCATGCCCGTCTTACATTCTACGATGTCTAATGATCGGCTAGTCCAAGTTTCTAATAAATATCATCTTATCGTGGAGGATGGTGCCACAGTTCCTAGTGTAGGAACTTCTATCGATAATCGTCCCCTGGTAAGATAGGCTTCTATCATTATTGTTTTGAGGCATGTTTAAGGGTTCCTCCTTCACCCTTCTTTAGTCAAGTTATTGGGGAATATAAAATCCATACAATCCAACTAAAGCCTAATTCTATTTCTAAGATTATTTATATGTCATGGTTGTCTTGTTGTGCCAACCATCTACTTGTTCTAGTATTTCTTATGTATATGTAGTAGTGATGCATGTTTCTACTTTCGTTCTCTAAGGAAGAGTTTTATATAGGGTCTTCTTGAGTCTATTAAGAAATGGAAGAACGAGTTCATATGGTTCAATGCTTTGCATTTTAATCATCCCTATTATTTTCATCTTCATGGTACCATTGAGGATCAGAAATTAGACTAGACTTGTGATATTCGTCAAGTATATCCAAAATATATAGGTTGGGTGTGGCTATGAAGAAGTTTCATGAGGCGGTTATGGGGCAAGTGTGTATCAGTCCTCAATGGACTCGCATGGGTACTGTTACTACCTTATATGTTCGAGACCAGATTTTCTTCATCTTGTCTTTTTTTATTTGGTTTGTGTGCTTAATTTCTTTATTATCTGATTGTCTCATATTCAAGTTTGTGTGTAGATGGAAGTCTTCTCCCTTTTCTTTTGCATGATTTTGTTGAAGGAAAGATTTATACTAAGGAAATTATTGATTCTAATGATTTTGAGTTGGCCTTAATAGATGATAGTATGAGCAACGATGAAGATGAAGGTAGTAATGAAGAGGATGGCGAAGAGTCTAAATCATCTCTTCACATCCATGGCTCGTATAATTTAAATGTTGGTGGCCAAATCAAACTTCGGTTGATGTTGTTTATATGATTGTTATTGATGAGGATGAGGCTTTGGATACTGGTTTGGTTACATGAAAAACAGGGTAAGGGAGCAACAACTTCGGTTGATTTTTCGGTGGCTCTTTCCAGTGAGGAAGGTAGTAATGGTGAGTGTTTGATAAAGTAACCCCTCTCTTTGGATCATACTGCCTTTCAATCGTATATGAGCAATTTTGGTTTAACTATGCCCACCAAGTATATTGATCAACTAAATACCGTGAGTCCTCCCCGAAATATGGGTGTTACTCATCCTGTTGGGCCTACCTATATTCTTGATTGGGAGTACCAATGAGATCAAAGCTTATTGGATCCAAAAACTACCATGTTATGTTTTGAAAACCTTGTTTCTCCTGGGGCCAAGCTTAGTTTGGGTAAAAATCATCGGTAACATGTTCATGATCATGCTTGTGGAGAACTTGACTTTGGGGACCGAGATAATGATCTGGTTTGACGAGAATGCTAGATTTCATGATTTTTAGGATGAGTTCAAAAAGATATCTCAGATTACAAATCCATTCATTAGTTCTTATACGGTTCTATCTTATAATGTCCAGTTGTTTCAAGATAGATTTGTTCAAGATATCGAAAAAGATTGATGAATTGGAAGGTGCAAGTTATAGTGTTGTTATGGTTACCGAATTGGAGTTAGAAAGTGTAACGGGTGAAGTGATATTGATATGGGATGAGAAGTTAATTTTGGAAAGTAAAATGGCTAACAATCATCATTTGAAGGATGAGATTGCTCTCTTGTAGTGCAAAGTGTATTCGTTGGAGTTGGAGAAATTTGGTTATATGGAAAAATTGTGATGTTGGAGTTGGGCATTCGGAAGTTGAAAAGTGATCTAGGGGCATTTGTACTGAAGAACATTGATCTTCAAGAAAGTGTTACGGCTTAACTGGACAAGTGAAAAAGTTGGAGGAGGATGGTAAATGGTTTTTTTGAAGACGTAAATAGTAACGTGATTGACAAGGTCTTTGGTCATTATGATGGATTTTGAGCACTATAACAATCCTATGGTGCACACACAACCCTGATGCTTTGGATCTAAGTTTTCTCAAGTTACACATGAAAATCTCATATTATCCAAAGCATGAAGCCTAACTAGCATATAATTTTGAGATTTACAACATAAAATGAGTTAGATGAATACATCTTTGTTGTAGCTTGTAGAACATGTGCTTTCAAGAGCTTAGTACCTCAAATGTGATACCTCAAATAAGCCACAAACACCAAGAACAATGGAGTATTATGAGAGAGAGAAAGAAAGAAAGAGAGAAAGAGAGAGAGAGAGAGAGGCTAGGAGGCACCAAAAATCGGCTAGGGTTTCTTCTTGGAAGTCTTGGCTGATTTTGGGAAGGCTAGGGGTTCAATTTATAGTGTGGAATCCTTAATGTTTCTTACATAAAACCCTAATTTACTTAATCCTTTAAGTATTCCAATAATCCACATAATAGGCCCTTTGGACTAACTCTTCATGGACTACCACAGAGATTTAGTCCATCCCTAGTCAACATGGATCATTGGCCCAAACTATAAGTATTACTGATTTACCTAATCAGTCCCTATAAATTTAATCAGTCTCTTTTGATAACTAAATTAATTCTTGATCAAGACCAATTAAATAATATGATTTCTCAATTAATATATTAATCACTATATTGATTACACATTATTTAATTGGTATATACTTGGCCCGATAGTAGCATGGTCCAATATGGTCTCAACACTTTTGAATATAAATAAAAACACTTATTATTTAATCACCATATTGATTACACATTATTCATTGTATAATGTTTCGACTAACCAACTCAATACTTGAATTAAAAAAATAGTTATCCCATGCTGCAAGAATACACACTATGTTTACCTATGATCCTTACTTTGTGAAATAGATAAATTGAACACATTTCCAATGATGCTCATTTCATAATTCCAAATCCTTATCATAAGTGTAAGAATACCAAATTCTTCAATTATTAGAATGTGTTAGATTTTAAGCTATCATGTAATATTCCTTTCGTAATTTCAAGGCACCAAAGTTACAGAGACTTTGCTAATGATATTACAAAACATTCCATTGGACACTTGTTACAAAAGAATTCTATAAAGATGAAGTCTCACATTCAAGGTACATTCATTGAACATCCTTCTTGCATAAAAGTTTCTAAGCTAGAGATAAATTCTTAATATTGCAATTCCCATTATGGAAACATTTCCATAATTGCCATATGACAATATATTTTTAATAGAATCCTATCTATTCATAATTATATCAATATGGTCCATCCATTACTATACTTCCAACTGTCCCCAAGCAACCAATCTTTGGTAAACCCTTGATTTTCCTCAATAGTCGTTTAACAACTTTAGTCATAAACGGATCTGGCCCTTTTTCCCTCTTAATTCGCTAGACATTTGGAAAAATTAGAACATCTGAATATCATGACATTTGTAATCGATCCTATACCTGAAGCATATAGGATTCAATTCATAATGTCTTACATAAAGACATGATACTAGACCAATCTCTTACTATAATATTTCCATATATAGAATTTCCTATGATGGAACATTTCAACATTACATTCATATATATATATATATATATATATATATATATATATATATATATATATATATATATATAATATATATATATATATATATATATATATATATATATTCATGACTAAGTCCCATTAAAATTTTAATCTTAAGCTTTTAGATTCGAAATGAAGTATGATTTCCCTCTCCCTTACTATAGCAAAACAACTTTTCAAAGTTTGCAACTTTGCAAATCAAAACATTGTTTCCTATAAATAGCATTGCTAACTCGCAACACCTATCATAACGATTATGCTCTCACTTGCATAATAACTATGTCCTTACTAGCATAACACTTATACTCCCACTAGCTTTGACATGTAGCCAGAAATCAGTTGGACTTCTAGAAATCAATATCTATTGACTTTCTTACCAAAGTTCAGATTTATGATACAAGATGCTTCGATAAGACTTTATTTAGGCTTCTCAAACTTATACATCTTTCATTAGAAAGCTCATTTGTGTGTCTATAATATTTCAGAACTTATATCAGTAAGCCCTAAATGTTCAGACTATTTGTTATTTCTCACAATTCAAACTATGAAGAGGGATGCTGTAATCATAATCGAATTTGAGAATGCACTTAACACAATTACTATCTCCTCAAAATCTACTTAGTGAAAGCGTTTCCTCACAATAATATTCATGAAGCGGAGAGAAACCTTATGTCATTTGGATTTTATGGTGTATGTGTTCCTATCCATATGAATCTTTCATTTCCAGCCATCATCATAAGATAAGATCTATAACAAATTCAAACTCATATAGATTGAACTTGTTCAATCTTGCTTTCTTGCCTTCTAGCAGCACAAGGGTCTACCATTGGTTCCAGGTTGTTGAGCAGCTCACCTATACTGGTCAATGTACTTTCATTGATCAAGGTGCTTTGCCTTATGCAATCATATGAGAACTCAAAGGACTCACATGCATAGTTAACTTAACTGGAATGGGCATAGAAACGAGAATATGTTAACACCATAGGTTACAAACCTCAAGTCGTGTGCTAGTGATAAATGATAGGTTTATTCTTGATTGGTTCTTGAAGCTACTCAAGACCATTAAGACTCCCAACTAACCTCTTGACATTTAAGATTCCCTTGTCAAAAACATTCCTTAACAAAAAAATATGCAAGATTTTGTGCGGATTCTTATCAAGATAACACTTCATTCAATTGGTCTTAGTTGATCTTTGTTTCAGCCAAAAACATCATAGATACCAATTCCAAATGTGGAAAAGTAAGATAAGTTTTCTACTCCACATTTCATGAGGTGTCATAAACCTACTTAGGATATGTCACTCAAGACACAATTTTGGAGTATGATTCTAAAACTTGGTTTTGGAACGAAGTATGATTCATCCTTTTGATTTAACCTTTTCAATAGTTCATGATTTCTCTCCTTAGTCATACTTATACACTAAGGTGTCCTTAGAGGATCAATTGCGACTTGGTTCCATAATCATTAGGATGATCATAAAACACAATACTCAAGTACTCTCCTTTCTTTTCAGATTGGAGAAACTTTTATCTTTCTACCTAATTGATTCTTCTTATTTGTTCTAATATTCATTAAAAGCTTTTCAATGATTTAGAATCACTCTTAATCTTGTAAGTATAACCATATTTACAAAACTTTTAGTAAATCATGATGAATAGTCTTATCGTTCTTTGTGGCTGACTTGACCAGTGCACAACAATGTGTACTAGATCTCCTAGTCCATTACTTGACTCACATCTACATGTGAACAAGAAATTAGTTTTAATTTCCCAAAGATGAAGGTTCTCATTCATCACACAATACAAGTCGCATGATTCCAAGTTTTTGTTCAATTGAAACTTGGGTGATAAGAACCTTTTCTTATTTGGTAAATTATGGCATTACCACTAACGATAGAATCAAACCTATTGCTAAAAAATATATAAACAACAATTTTCACAAATCTCATTGCAAGTAAATATAAAATAAGACAAAATCAAAAAATTTCTTTATTTATAAAACCCGGAAAACTTGTCCTTACAATGCAATTACAAATGAAAACTATGTTACTAAATATCCCTAAGCAATCTATCATAACTCCTAACAGCAACTCAAAAATCTGATCATCGAACCAAGCGATCGAAATACATCTCTTCGTGACCAGACTCAACTAACTCTTCCTTTAAGCTCCCTTTCTTTTCTTCAATCCTACAAAACATCAAAATGCACTCTTATGACATCATGTATTAAGAATCTATAAATAGGAACTTAATAGAGTTAGATAATGGACATACCTAAAGTAGAGTCATACATTTTGACTTTACCACCCTTACGATCCTTCAGGTAGATACGGCAGTTTCGCATCCAATGCCCCTTGTTTTTGGAATAGAAACAAATAGAATCTTTCGGAATGGTGAATAGGATTATCTCAGACTCAGCCTTTCTCTTATGATCAACCTTTTTGACTGTAACGCCTGTGTTTCTGGGCTTGCCATTTTTAGCAATGTGATAGTCTAGGTTAACCTTTGTAACCCGTTTTGAAATAATAGAAGTGTATTATTTGAGTATTATGTGTTTTGTGCTTAATTGCTTAATTATGTGGTTTGATTAATTAAGAATAAAAATAAGCATCAAAATTTAGGTGTAAAATAAACTTGATATCTTTAGATAATGTTGTAGTAATTAAGACAAGGTTTCCGAAGAAATAAAGAATGCCGAAATCCGAGTTATAACGAAGAAGTTATGACCTGTCGAAGTTTCGCGACAGAACCGGCACCGCTGAATAACGTAAAAAGTGAAATTTACGTTAGAGCGATATTTAGCCTTAGTGATCTAAACGAGAATCGAAGATCTCGTTGTTAGTATCAAAGCGATAAAAAGTTAGGCGAGAACGGACGTCAAACGAAGAAGTTATGAATTTATAACGAAATTTTCTGTCCCGGCCTATTAAAAATAAATAATAAAAATAAATCAAAATTAGCCGACGGAGTCTAAACGAAAGTTGTAGAGCGTAGTCTCACCTTCGCGTGGATATAAAGAACGTCGAAAACGGAGTTCGTATGAAGAAGATATGAATTTCCGAAGTTTATTAAATAATTAATAATTAAATTAATTATTAAACCTCGGTATTATCCGGAGGCGAGTCACCGGACTCATCCGGAGTACGCCC